TTATCTCATGGCATCTCCTCAGACTCTGCCCTTCTTCATCCCAGCATTCTCTCTGCCCTGAAAACCCTGTCTAGCTGTTGGCCAATCACGTCTTTATTAACAATGAGAGCAACACAACTTCACAGTGTACAGAAGCATTATTCTACAGCAGGCGCTCAGTGTCTGGGATTAAATGGTTCCCGTAATTTTGTCCTCCTGGATCTTTCTTTCCTAGTTGCCAAGACTCCACTCTCTGAAGTTAGTACCTGTTGCTGTGACAACTACAACAACCAGAAGCAATTTGGAGGAGGAAATTATTTCAGTTTATGGTTTCAATCCATCCCTTGAGGGATGTCAAGGCAGGAGCTCAAACAGGGACTTGAAGCAGAAACCATGCAGGAGTACTGCTTGTTGTGAGATCCTGGTTGGGCTGGCTTTCCTATGTAGCACACAACCACCTGCAGAGGAAAAGGTGCTTTCCAGAGTGGGCTGGGCCCTGCTATATCAAGTATCAAATAATTCCCCCACCGACATGACCACAGCCAGACTGTTCTGGAAATTCCTCCATTGAAATTCTCTTCTCTCATGCCAGCCAGTGGTGGCCTATAATCCCAGCACTCACTCGGGAGGCAGAGGTGGGAGGAGCTCTGTGAGTTCGAGGCTAACCTCGTCTACAGAGTGAGTGCCAGGACATACTCCAAAGCTACATAGAGAAACCCTGTCTCAGAAAAACAAACAAACAAAAATAAAACCAAAACCGAAAAACAAAGAAAAATCCTCTTCTCTGCTGACTCTAAGACAGTTCAAGGAGGGAGTAACTATCAAATGGCCTGCAGCTCCTTCAGCCTGGAGATCACAAAAAATGAGGACATCTTGTGATTAGAGACACTGGCTTGTGGCATGCCTTACCTGGCAGCTTGAAGTCTCTTCAACGTGTTCAGAGACCAGGTGTGGCGTGGGCCCCACAGACTTAAGTGTTGGAATGCTTGGCCCACAGGGAGCGGCGCTGTTAGCAGGCGTGGCTTTGTTGGAGAAAGTGTGTCACTATGGGGACAGGCTTCGAAGTCTTATATGCTCAAGCTGTGCCCAGTATGGCGCACAGATCTCTTCTGCTGCCTACAGATCGGGACGGGGAACTCTAGGCTCTTCTCAAGCACCATGTCTGCTTGCAGGATGCCATGCTCCCTGACATGATGATGAACTAAACCTCTGACGCTGTAAGCCTGCCCCGGTGAAATGTTTTCCTTTGTAAGAGCTGCCATGGTCATGGAGTCTCTTCACAGCAATGGAAACCCTAAGACAGAAGTTGGTACCAGGAACTGGGGTGTTGCTAAGACAGGCCTGACCATGTTTTTGTTTCAAGGAATGTGGACTTTGGAAGTTTGGATTAAGAAATCAGTGGGATGTTTTAAAGTGGGGGTTAATGGGCCATCCTTGTATGAACATGGAAGACAGTGGTGCTGAGGATGATTTGAACAGTGGGGGCCTGGGTCAAGTGGTTTCAGAAAGGAATTTTAGTGTGTTGCATAGAGATCATTCTTATGATATTTTGGTGAAAAAAAATGTGGCTGCTTTTTCCCCCTTGTCCAAAGAGTATGCCTGAGGCTATTAGCATTCACTCTTATGAAGATTTATAATGAAAAGAGTCATGCTGAGCAAAAAACAAAAAAACCAGAATGTACAGAAAAGGGTTACCAGGAAATGGAATGGAGATAAATCCTATGTTCAAGCAGATAAACAGATTAAAGAAAAGCTGGATGTTAAACAGAATGAGGGGAGTGTTGACCTTAGATCAAGACCCCACCCAGCTAAGCTTCCAACATGTGAAAAGAAATTAAAGAATAGCCAAGCATTGGTGGTGCATGCCTCTGGTCTCAGCACTCGAGAGGCAGAGACCAGCCTGGTCTACAAGAGCCAGTTCTAGGACAGGCTCCAAAGCTACAGAGAAACACTGTCTCAGGGGAAAACAAAAAGGAATGAAGGGACCAGACCCTTACCCAGCCCCCTACTTTAGCAGACATGACAGGCTGCGGAAAAGACCCAACAACACGTAGACCTCTGACTCAGCACAGGTTAGTTTCCAGCCTTCTGGTCCTGCCAGACCTGTCCTAGTCACTAGGTCAGATATCAGAAGTTAGCTGGAGGTCTCTGGACATGCTTTACAGTAAAAGTGGAGTAACAGTGACATGCAGAGCATAGCAACCGCCCTGGGAGGGCCTATAGGCCATAACAACCAGTTGACCAATCAGCACAGGACAGGTCGCCCAAACCTAGAAGTGCACCAATCCTGAGACTGTTGTGGACCTCCTAGACCTCCCCTTGTGCTCTCCAATAAAATCCCTGCTTCGTGGCCCCTTCCCATCCGTCTCATGCCAACTGCTGTGCTGGAAGGATGAGGGGACTGAGTTAAGACAGTTAACTCATTAAACAATAAGACTCTGCTTTTGCCTCGGGACAGGTCTCTGGTGATTTTGGGATCCCCCTGAGCAGCAGCACTCATCTGTTTGCTGAGGGCTGACATAATGGGACCAGCTACAAGACACTCCCACCGCTGTGACTCGGTTTGTGCCAGGAGACTTCCCAAGGACTGAGCCAACATAAAGCCTTCCTTCTCTAAGTTGATCAAGTCTCTCGTAGCAGTAACACAAGCAAAGAACACAGTAGTCTTCAGTGCTCCTGATGTCTTGGGCATTTGCCCTTTTACAGACTGTCTCCTTTGTTCCTTTCCCTACTTCCCAAATGGCTGTCTTGTCTCCTCACCCCTCCCCTTTGAGAATTCTCCTTTCTATTGGCTCTAGACATCTTCCTCACCTCATCTCCTCCCATCCTATTTCCAAACATTCTCAAAACAAGTTGTACCAGCTATGCTGGGTGGTGGTGGCACACGCCTTAAATTCCAGCACTTGGGAGGCAGAGGCAGGCAGATCTCTGTGAGGTCAAAGCCAGTCTGGTCTACAGAGCAAGCTCCAGGGAAGCCTCCAAAGCTACAGAGAAACCCTGTCTTGAAAAACAAAGAAGAAAAAAACACAAACCAAACAAACAAAAGCCAAGAAAACTTCAAGGAAGCCAGGCATTGGTGGTGAACGCCTTTAATCCCAGCACTTGGGAGGCAGAGGCAGGAGGATCTCTCTGAGTTCAACTCCAGCCTGGTCTACAGAGCTAGATCCAGGACAGGCTCCAAAACAGTACAGAGAAACAGTCTTGAAAAACATAAATGACAGCAAAAGAAACCTTCAAGGACCAATCTCATAGCATCTCTTGGGCTTTCTGTTTAGCTTTTGTTCCTTCTTTGGCCATGTCCTAATGTCTGCTAAGGAAGGTTCGGGTTTAGATTCTCTGCCTCTTAAGGGTTAATAGGTGGTGAGGGAATGATACAGCAGCATAAGGGGGAGAAAACTGACTGGTATGTAAAATAAGATGGCTTTTAATTTAAATAAAGATTAAAAAAATCGCCGGTCAGTGATGGCACACGCCTTTAATGCCAGTACTTGTGAGGCAGGGCAGGCAGAGATCTGTGAGTTTGAGGCCAGCCTGGTCTACAAGGAGAGTTCCAGGACAGCCAGAGTTGTTAGAGAAACCAGGTCTCAAAAAACAAAATAAACAAACCCAAAAAGAAAGGCTTACACGGATTGTAAAATAGCAGGAAACTTCGAAGTAAAACAACAGTAATTAGGAATGTACAGGCAAAACAACAGTGTGTCACACGCAGGTCACCGCTCTAGCTTCTGAGGTATAGAGGGAGGGTAGTTACTAGAGGCGTAGTTTGGGTGGTTAACTATTTTGACAGGTTATATTACAACCTCTTTTCTACTGTACATATCCCCATAATATGTGGTTTTTACCACATGCACATGCAATTATACATAGACCTAAGATGGTACATGAGGTTTTTCCTAAAAGTTCACTTTAAGGACAGTTTGCTGTATTATGCATGTACTCAAAAATAGTTCAGGCTGGCTTCCTTCCTCTCCTTCCATTACTAAAATACAACCAAATATAATGTAAGTTTGATGCCAATTAAGTGAACGAAAAACGTATTCTATTGTTCATAGCGTGTGTGTGTGTGTGTGTGTGTGTGTGTGTGCAGCATGAAGGGGGAATTGTAATTTAAGAAAAGCAGTGCAAAACAGGATGTTTGTTTTTAGGGAAAGGTATCATTAAAAAAAGGTAAGGGGAGGAGGGAGGGAAGGACGAGAGAGAGAAAAGGAAGGTAGTGAACGTACACAGGTGATGCTCTTAGTGGCTGCAGCTGAGGGCGTATCCAGTCAGAACCCCGTGTCCTGGGCTGTTAGCTGCATCGTTTGGAGTGTGTGCAAAGCTGAAAGCCAAGTGGCGTCCCAGATTTCTAGACTATTCCTTATGCTTGTTTATGTCACTTGTGTGAGAGGAAGCACATAACGGGCAACACTCATCCTGTCTCAGCCTTCTTCTATGGCTTTCCTTTTCTGCAGATCTGAGCAGGGGCCAGCCTACCATACCGGCATGCCACATCCCGTTGGAAATGGTGCCCTTTTCCGGAATGTCTGGGTCTGAAGGTAAACTTGTTGCCAAAAGGCAACATGTCTAACTTGCTCACTGACTGTATCCTGGTGCCTGACACGAGCTCTGGGCAGAAGCTCTATACCCATGGACTTCAGCCAGCACGGAGTACAAGTATTTGGGGCGGGGGTGGGGGAATACCCGCTGCTGATTGGACATGGAGAAACCTGTCATCATGGTTCCTTCCATCACTGGGCCCGTGTGCTAGGCAGGAGTCACCTCCCGCGCGCTTGGGCTGGCCTCGAACCCGTGCTGATCCTCTCGGCTTTGAGGTGGGATTACAGGGACCCCCGGGCTCAGCCACCACGTCCTTCTCTGACATTGCTAATTAGTCCCCACGGGCCTGGGGGCAGGGGCCGCCCCTTCCTCCTGTCTGCCGCGGCCTCCGCCTGGCTGCACGCGCTCCACCCGGCTGCGGCGTTTCCCCGGGCGCCGCCACCCAAGCTCCCCGGGGCCAGCGCGGCGGCGTCTGCGCAGGCGCGAGCGCGCGGGGCATCACGGGCCGCCGGGACGCAGAAGATGGCGGATGCGGCCGTGGGTAAGGACAGGTGCGGGGAGCAGCGGCTCGTGTCGCTGCCGCTGTCCCGCATCCGGGTCATCATGAAGAGCTCTCCCGAGGTGTCCAGCATCAACCAGGAGGCGCTGGTGCTCACGGCCAAGGCCACGGTGAGCGGCCGGCGGGGCGGCGTGACGGGCGGGGGCGGGCGCTAACCGCTCCCCGTCGGGCTCCGCGCACGCCCAGCCTTCCGGCTGCCCTCTCCTCCTGCGCCTGCGCGGCTCCGGGCCCCTCCCCACCCCCCCACCCGCGGTGTCGGCCCCGCCCACCCGGGCCGCTCGTCCTCTGTGCTGCTTCCGCTCTGCGCGCTCACTCCGCTCCCGGCGTCCCTTGCGCCCCGCCCGCCGCGTCATTCCCGCCGTGCTTCGCGCGCGAGGCGGCGAGCGTGCAGCTCCGCGAGTCGACGCGGTCTCCACTGTGGCCGAGCTCCTGCGCGCGCGGGCGCGCGCGCGTGTGTGTGTGCACAGTGTGTGTGCATAGTGCGTGTGTGCACAGTGTGTGTGCATAGTATGTGTGCGTGTATGCAGTGTGTGTGCGCAGTGCGTGTGTGCATAGTGTGTGTGCATGTGTGCATAGTGTGTGTGTGCACAGTGTATGCACAGTGTGTGTGTGTTCTCAAAGCTTCCACCGTGTCCTGCACGGGTATCCAGGGATCTGCAGCCCTCCGGCCTCCGCAGATCGGCAGGGTTTATGTAGGCAACGGTTGCTCACAAAGTTTAGCCTCCAGGGAGAAGTTTATAACCACACAGCCCCCTTCCAACACAACACACACAGATCGCTTTGTGTTCTTACTTCGTTTTATGTTTTCAGACCCTATCCTGCAGACCAGGACCGCCTCAGCTTCCCCCACCCCCCTACCCCTCCGAGTGCTGGAATTAAACGTTCTTGCCACCGCTCCCGGGTTAGAGTCTGGTCTCGGTGGTGGTAGCCCGGGGACCTTCCTGTTAGGAGAAACTGCTTTTCTCAAGATTGTTTTCAGCTTCTACAATATTAACGGAATTGCAAATGTTATGGCTTTGCAACAGAACCAACATTAAGTAGTTCCCAGCGTCCTGCTCCTTTATGATGATGGTATACTTAATATCACAAGCAGTCTGTACACATTCCTACTTCTAAATACAGACAAGATCATGAGGAAACACTTGTGTCTGTGTGGTCCTGGGACACATCTCTCATTATAGCTGAACTAATCCTGGGCCTTGGGAAAGGCTCAATTTACCGTATTTCTGAGCCCTGCAATCTTGGCAGTCCTACACCACTTGCAAAGTAAGATTTCATTTTTCAGCTTGAGGTTGTTGGTGTTTACTGTAGTACTGTAGTTTTGAGTGAACAACCTTCAACGAGGGATTCATTAGACTGAAAACGGATTTTGGAGATACAGACATGTGACAGCTTACATCTGTAATGTAATGCCAGCTCTTGGGAGACTGAGGCAGGAGTATCTCCAGGAATTCAAGGCTAGCCTGGATTACAGAGTGAAACCTTGTCTCAGTAAACTAAGATAAAGTTCTTGGAACGTCAGATAGAATTGTTGAATGGTCTTTTGCTCCATGTTTTGTAAAGGTTGGTGACACTCCAACCTACCCCATCACTGTTTCCAGACGGCAGCTCATGTAGCTCAGACTTTTGCCAAACTTGCTGTGTATCCATAGCTGCCGTTGATTTCCTGTGCCTCTTGTCTCCACTTGTGGAGTGTGGGTGTGCAGCACAGCACTTCTGGAAACAGTCATTATAGTCATTCATAAATATTTTCCGTGTTACACACCTACGCTCGATAGAAAATGCCTGCTGCCTCCGGCTCTACACAGGGATGTTTCTTTCCTGACCTTGCATTTTTTCCTCATAGAAACTGATTTCTAATAACTTGAGGTACCAAGACAATCAGACATATCAATGGAATTTTAAGCTTATAAAGTCTGTGATGAGTTTTCCAATCTGACCTTTCATTTGATGTTTTTGTTGTTGGTTTAGGAGCTCTTTGTTCAGTATTTAGCCACCTGTTCCTACAGGCATGGCAGTGGTAAAGCCAGGAAAGCATTGACATACAGTGACTTAGCCAGCACTGCCGAGGACTCAGAGACGCTTCAGTTTCTCGCAGGTAAGTAATCTATGGGATGTTCTGCTAAAAAACAAGACAAAAAACTTTTAGTGAGCTCTTTGTCCCTTTATTGTTATCCTGGCCTGGTACAGGGAAGTGTTCTAGCCTTCTACTTGAGCTCATAAAGAATTGTACAAGTTGACAATGCACCCCAACGGAGCTGCTGGTGTATGTAGCCACGAGTCAGGCCCTAGCAAGAAAAAGCTTCAGTGTAGCCCAGGAAGGGGGTCAGGCCACCCAGCCTTCCTCAGCTAGCTTGGACAGGAGTGTTCACAAAGTCATGTCCAAGAAACATGTTTACTATCTGTGGAATGGCAACAGGTCTGTAAGTGCACCAGGAAACAATCCCAAATTCTGCGATTCTTCCCTCATAAGTGTACATGGGTTTCATGTCTTTTAGAAGATATTCTGGGGTTAAAGCGGGAACTAGTAAGTTTTGAAACTTGCATTGTTGTATTCGTAGTTCAACATAAGCCGTTATTGACATGTTTCCTGTTTTTAAAGATATATTACCCAAGAAGATTTTAGCTAGCAAGTACCTGAAAATGCTCAAAGAGAAGAGGGAGGAGGAAGAGGAACACGATGGTGAAAGTGATATTGGTGAAGTCCTGGCTTAAGCCAGCAAGGAGTCTCAGCCTGGTGAGCAGGGCAAGCATAGACTCACAGCTGGGCAGCACTGTGTGCCCTGTCTCGGCTTTGCAGCTTGATGCACTCCCTCTGGCAAGGGAAAGGCCTGGAGCAGCCTCCCACACAGACCCTCCAGCAGTCTCCTGTCCCAGCAGGGGAGCCCTGGGCAGCCGGCACTGCTGTGGCTCTGGGTACAGCAGCACAGACACTGACCTTCATGTTGGACTTGCAGGAAGACCCGGAAAACTCCACGTCGGCTGTCTAGTCACAGGGACACCCTTTTCTCACAAATGGCTACAAGTATAGCTCATGTACACTGCTACCTTTGAATTTTTTGTATTTTTTAAAAAAAAAAAATGGACTATGCATTTTTACTGTACAGAAAATTTGCTTTTCCTTTTCCATTAAAGGTTTGTATTTTACAGTAACACGCTTTATTGAAGTGGTTTTAGGATCTTTGCTTTTTCTAACATCTTACTGATAATTTTGAAATTTCAGAGTTAGCGTTTCTGGCTGGAAATGTGAGCCAGACAGAGTGTGAGCTTAGCAGGTCCATGGGCTTCTCTTGGCAGGCACCAAAATAAACAGCAGCAGCATGTAAGTAGCTGTCCCAAGAGGAGAGCTCCGCTCATCAGTCACATGCAGTTGAAGAAGCAGCCACCTTCTGTAAATGTTTTAAGCAAGTTGGACACTGGGGAGTTCTCATTTTTCTGTTGTCATTTATATCCAGTAAAACCATCTTGTGGTTTATAAAGTTTGACAAAAATGTTTGTTTGATGTCTTGCTGAATGTAGCTGAGTCTGGCCTGGTACTTGTAATCCTGCCTCAGCCTCCCAAATTGCAGGAATTAAGGGTGTACCAGTTCTGTTCACTATCAATACACAGAACACCCACAACATTCCCATGCTACCTGTAGTTAATCTGTGTCCCTTACAAGCCAATTACCCTCTGCAGGGTCTCACTATGGAGCCCGAGCTGGCTTAGAACTCTTGTGTAGGCCTGCTGAGCTGGCCCTGCATTCAGGTCTCCCCACCTGTCTGTGCAGACCCTGCCTACTGTGCCTGACATGTGTTTTTAAAAGTGATTTCTAATAAGCCATTTACAAATCCACTTTTTGGTGTAGATTTGGTCACATACAATCATGTGACCACTATTAACAGTTCTAGCACCCTCTGAAAAATCTCTTCAGCATCTCCATCCCCATGTTACCATGGCAACCACTGAGCTGCCCACTGTCCCAGCTGGAAGAAAAAAAGACCGATGAACAAAGCAGAACACTAGGATCATTTGCCAGTTGCTGCTGTGGTCATGAGCGTGACAGAACTTGGTCTGCCATAGCAAATGTTCAACTCACTCTAGGGACACCCCACCATCACCGCCACCACCTGCACGTTCACATAGACTTCCTGGGACTTGAGAGCACCACCATGTTTACACACTCAGGGCAACAGAGCTAGCTTCAGGACTCTGTCCTCACATCTGGAGCTCAGGGCCTTGAGCAGGACGGGATCAATCGAATGGCTTCTGACGGTTCTCTCCGTGATGCTGATGTGGGGACACCAGCTCCATGGGTGGTGTGGGGCTCTACAGAACAGGACCTACATCCCTTTGGAAAGGTGAACTAGGGCAATGCTCTCAAGGGAGACAGTGAGTAACTAGACACACCTTTGGAATAGGCAGCTGTAAATATGAGGAACTTTATTTATTTTTTTTTTGCTGACATACTATGCGGCAAAACAAAATTGACACCATACAAAATAACTTTATAAAATATCATTCACATCATAGTTTATCAGATTTACAGCATTCTGTGCATGTTAGGGGGCTACATAAGGAGTGAAAAACACACTATACCAAACTCTTAGTATTAGTTTATACACACAGTAAGAACAACATAAGTAGCTGTTGGGTTTCCCATGAATTTATTGCAAAAATAGTGCAAACTATTTAACCTAGTAAGCTGTGAAAACAAACTTAAAAGGACCCAGCTAAGCTTAAACACGACAAGAGATGCGCAGTGTCTCGGCATTCAGCTTTCCTCATCAGCTGTCTTATCCATGCAGACCACCTGACCAGGTAGGTGATCGTGGGTGAGTGCTGAGAAACACGAAAAGAGCCGCTACTCCAAGGCCAGGCTCCCAGCGGCTGCACGCTGGCAGTGCCTTCAGTTTAGGGTCATGCTACTGACTCAACGGACACCCATGAGGTCTGTGTGTAAAACTTAAGATTCCACAACTTTGAACTGAAGTACCCACCCTTAGGTCACGTGGAGAAGGAAGTCGAAGCAGCACTAACAAAGGGTCTGAGTGGCACGGCCAGCTGAGAGAGTGGTACCCCTTCCTCGGGTGTGCTTGGGGAAAGAGTCCTAAAGTAGCGTGACCTTCAGAGCCACACACTGCAGGGAGCAAGAAGGAGGATACTAACTTTTTAAGTTTTCCTTTCAACAGACTATTGGGGTCCAAAAAGCATAATATCTGACAAAATTAAAATATAATGCTACATAGAAAAGCTAAAACAAAACAAAAAAACCCAAACAAACAACCCCCCCACAACCCAAATCAATGAACCAAAAAGCAGCACACGCAGGTCTATGACTTGAGGTACCTATGTAAATTTCATCACCTGCCCAAAGGTAAAATACAATGCTTCCGGCAAGCCAATTGTAGGGCATTGATTACAGACAAAGTGCAACAGCTCTGAGCTTCATGTCCATATGCAGCATACTAAAGGGGGATTCATTCTATAAAATATAGCTGAAGTATCAGCACCTGATAATGGAAGCTTAAACAAAAAACAAAAACCCCACATACGTCTAACTAATCACCTCTTTTTTTCTTATTTTCCTTTTTTAAGATCCTGCGAAGGGAAAGGGTGGGTGCAGAGAAAAAGTGGGGGGTGTCTTCCAAATCATCTTTCGGAGTCTTGCCAAGTACAGCTGGTTCTCTCCTAAAACCCAGATATCTCTTTAAAAGAGTAAGACTCTATATATACTCTACCGGAGAAAGATGCCTAACTTTTATTTCTTATTGGTATAAAATCAAATTCATAGGACTCCAAAATATTGTGTTACTTCCAAAGAATTATTAAAAGATTGCCGTAGTAGGAAAAGTCTAGAATTGTAAACTGCCAAATATAAAAGTGTGGCAAGTCATCAGTCTCCAATCTTATTTTCTTACCCATCAGAAACTGTTCCTGATTTCAGAAACCATGGGCTGTCGAAGACTGTTCATCTTCCCCACCTCCAGCCTGGCCTCCAGACAGCCGTGAGCGTGCCCCCTCCTCTGCCCATGGCGATTAGCACGTTCACCATGCAAACCATTTGCTGTTCATGAAAGGAAGTCATATACAAAGCATGTCAGAGGAAAAGGGAAACGAACAGCTAACAGAGCAGAGACAGCACTTGGGGTATATTTTTGGGGGGTGATGCCCCTTCAATGGCACAGAAATAAAGTGATAGCTATGAACACATGCATAGAAGAGCTGGGGGTATGTTTTGTGTAGGATGTTATATGTAAAATTTGCTCTTGGACACACACTTCCCCCTCCTTCCCCTAAGAGGGTGGGCTGGGATCCCAGGAACGATAGCAGTTGGATGGGATACTTGCATGGTCAGGCAGGCTCCCCACTTGTGAGAGAAAATGACTACTCTGAATTTCAAAAATGCATTTGGGTTAACATAAAAGGCACAAAATAAATTAAAAATATCATTAAATAAACGGAAAGTATGAGTTCAAGTTTCATGTGGAGTTAGTTACATCCCACTGTTTGGTTATTTTTTTCCAATTTAATTTGAGAGACTTAGTAAATAGCACCCAACTGTTTAACTGAGGTAGATCCACATTATAAAGAAAGCTGGGTCCCCTCTATCTTACCTCAAGACTGAATTAAGATGCTTTTAGAGAAACAAAAATCTGTTGTGATCTATGCAGAAGCAATGACAGTGACTGTAGTACCTGCAGAGAGCTTAACTTATGAGAGAGCTCTCTCATAAGTAGGTAAAACCTACAACTCAATCATGTTCCCAGCAGCCAAGGCTCATCACAGACTGGAGGAGAGAAATCAGATGATTGAAGATGACCCTGCAAAGGTCTTAGACAGACAGACTGCCACAGAAATGCACATGATGGGTTTTCCTCATGCTACGCAGAAGTGTAACCCTGGCATCGGCCCTTTTGAACTCCAGAGGGGACACATGCTGAATTAGGATAGAGCATCTTGAACTGGACAGCCGAAACTCACTCTGCCTATTTTATTTTATTTTATTTTTATTGTTATTTTTTGCATACTCTGAAATGCACAAACTCATTATCTGATTAAGGCTTAATTTAAACTGATATCACTACTGGTATAGCAAGGCCTGGGCATCACCACGATCGATCCACAGACTGGTATCAAACCGAAGACAATGACATGAAGCCTCAGAACTGGGTTTAGCAGGTACTATAATTTTATAATTAATTATACAATCCATGTAGCAAATGAAAGATTATACAGAGAGGCCAAGGGTTATAAATAATAGTTTACACAGGAACTGTCAATTTACAAACAGCACTGCGTGGCTTCTAAATCGAAAGCACAAGACATCACACAGCTCCACCGTACAGGTACAGACATGTCCATGACATACAGAGTAACACCTGAAACAGGCAGGCCCTTGTAGCCAGCCGCTCCACTTCTAAGAAAGTAGCAAACAGTAAATGTATGTAATACATTTTGATTCAAAATGCCTTCTACATATGCTTGAGTGTGTGTGTGGGGGGGGAGGGGGAATTAAGACTGGGCCAGGACACACTGGGGAACTTCTGAATTCATCTTTGGTTCTTTTTAAATTAGTGTATAAAACAAAACTAGAAAAACCGATAAAACCAAGGGTTAAAAACCCCTCAATAGATACTAGGCAGGTAATCTGAAGTTATAGGGGGTCGGGATTCAGGGCTACATCCTCTTCCTGTTATTTATGAGGCAGTAGCCACTTTGTTGCACGGAAACTTAGAATTATTCCTTACAACTCTTTTTCTGTTTTGTTAAATTAAAAGCTCATTTGCTCCTACAGTTATAAAACATGAATTTATAACTTAGTAGCCACACTGAAATCCTTCTCAAATGCAGGACTCACGAATTGTACCTTTTGATCGGAGTTTAATCACATAGGTCTATTTGGTTTTGAAGAGGGACCAAAACTGTTGATGCACCACCCTCCACAGTCAGTGCTGTAGACAAAAAAGTAAACACATCACTTCCCCGGGTAAAACCAACAAAAACATCCCTTGACAGGGAGGGTAGGCCAGGCTAGGAAACTGCTACATCCCTGGCTTGACACAGTCAGAGATAAAATTACACCATAGGCATGCCAAAGCTGGAGTTCTATGTTTTTGGTTCAAGTGACACTGCACCTAAGTGAGCAGTTCCCCCAGAGTCACAGAACAGA